GCGCCCTGGTGCTGCTGCTGTGGAGGATAAATGTGGAGCTGCAGCAGCGGCGCCTCAAAGCCTCAATGGGCCGAGGAGAGTCCGCGCTGCGCCTCCGCCACCTCAGGACGCGTGACTCTGGACCGGAGCCTCTTGGTGCATGAGACTCTGACGCACTGCACGCTCTCTTCAGCCTCTCCCGCGCCGCTCCTCTCATCTCCTCATGTGGTCTCTGCACATGCCCCGCGTGTCCATCATGGACCTGTCGGCCGAAAGCCTCCATCCCGCGACCCCCCGCGCGCTGCTGCTCTCGTGCGTCATGCTGCTGTTCACCGCGCACTTGTGGCGCTGGCTCCGGCTGCGCGCCTGGACCCCGAGGCTCTCGCTCCCGGGACCCACGCTCCCCTCGCTCCCGGGACCCTTCTCGTGGCCCATCATCGGGAACGCGGCTCAGATGGGCAGTGCGCCGCACGAGTACTTTGCGCGTCTGTCCCACAAATACGGAGACGTTTTCCAGATTAAACTGGGCTCCTGGCCCGTGGTGGTTCTGAACGGAAACTCCATCAGACAGGCGCTGGTCAAACAGGGGCAGGACTTTGCGGGGAGACCGAACTTTACCTCGTTCAGGTACGTCTCTGAGGGCAACGGGGTCGCGTTCAACACCGCCTCAGACTGGTGGAAGGTGCACCGTAAGATCTCCCACTCCACACTGCGCATGTTTTACCAGGGCAACCCCGAGACCAAGATAACGTTTGAGCGTCACGTTTTGTCTGAGTTCAGAGAACTTCTGCAGCTGTTCGTGGAAAAGACTCAGGAGAAGCGCTACTTTGTCCCTATGACGTATCTGGTGGTGTCCACGGCCAACATCATGAGCGCGCTGTGCTTCGGGAAGCGCTACTCCTACGAGGATGAGGAGTTCCAGCAGGTGGTGGGAAGAAACGACCAGTTCACTAAGACCGTGGGCGCGGGCAGCATCGTGGACGTGATGCCGTGGCTGCAGTACTTCCCAAACCCCATCAAGACCATCTTCGACGACTTCAAGAGCCTGAACCTGGAGTTCTGCACGTTCATCCGAGACAAAGTGATGGAGCACCGCAAGACCATGGAGCCCGGGACCATACGGGACATGACCGACGCGTACATCGTGGCGCTGGACAATCTGCGGGACCGCTCCGGCATCACGCTGGAGAAAGACTTTGTCACGCCGACTGTGGGAGACGTGTTCGGGGCGAGTCAGGACACGCTGTCCACGGCGCTGCAGTGGATCATCCTCATCCTCATCAGGTCAGTGTCTTAAAGAGCTCAAGTCACACGATTTATGATTTAAGCTCTGATGTTTCCTCATCACAAACAGAGCTGGAGTTGTGTTTTGTTTCATTCACTCATGTTTAACTCACAAACTCTGCAGATTTAGGCTGAGTTTTTCTCTCAAACACTCTGTTCCACCTTGTGATGTCATGTGGAAATGTGTTGTTTTTTTTTTGGGGGGTCATTTCAGCCCAAGAACTGCCCATTTCTGCTAAACAAAAGGTAAAAATAGGAGCTGTTAACTTGAAAACTAAAGCTTCAGAGCATTTATTTTGAGCTTTTTTGGGGGATGCAGACAGACTAAAAATAAATAAAATTACTCTAACATATAAGTATTTATGGCTTGAATATTCGTGAATGAAACAGAACACAACACGACATTCTAACACGACTCGAAGCTCACAAGATTATGCATAATTTTAAATGAACAAAAGTGCATTTTTAAGTGTTTTAATGGTGCATCTCACACACTTTGAGCACTTTTTTCTGTCTCACATCTCTCGTCTCATTTGGCATAAAAGTGTCCAAAATCAAACCACGATTTAAGCTCAAATAAAGCAACGTTCGCATCTGTTTCTTGACACTGACTGCAGATTGTGACACGCCTGCGTCCAGGGCCGTGCAGGTTTTTGTCAATGAATGGACTTTGAATCTGTTACGTCGCCGCATGAATGAGCGCGGTGAACACAGGAAAAATAAATAAACACAAGCTGCCAGAGTGTGACTGAAAACCGAAAGTGCACGACTCAAAATACACGTTTGGTGTGAGTTTTATTTCGAGAGGAAGTGTTGGGTTTTAAGAATGAAAAAAGAAAAGAAAATGAGACAGAGAATTAAAGAGTTAAAGAGTTAAAGAGTTAAAGAGTTAAAGAGGAGGGAGTGTGAGAGGATGAAGAGGTGAGGAGGAATATGCAGAGAGTTTAGACCTAAACCAGGACTAAACCAGGTCTAAACTAGGTCTAAAACCAGGACTAAACCAAGTCTAAACCAGGTCTAAAACCAGGTCTAAACTAGGTCTAAACCAGGACTAAACCAAGTCTAAACCAGGTCTAAAACCAGGTCTAAACTAGGTCTAAAACCAGGTCTAAACTAGGTCTAAAACCAGGACTAAACCAGGTCTAAACCAGGTTAAAACCAGGTCTCTAAACCAGGACTAAACCAGGACTAAACCAGGTCTAAACCAGGTCTAAACCAGGGTCTAAACCAGGACTAAACCAGGACTAAACCAGGTCTAAACCAGGTCTAAACCAGACTAAACCAGGTCTAAACCAAGTCTAAACCAGGTCTAAATCAGGGCTAAACCAGACTAAACAGGACTAAAACCAGGACTAAACCAGGACTAAACCAGGTAAACCAGGACTAAACCAGGTCTAAACCAGGACTAAACCAGGTCTAAACCAGGCTAAACCAGGACTAAACCAGGTCTAAACCAGGTCTAAACCAGGACTAAACCAGGAAAACCAGGTAAACAGGTCTAAACCAGGCAGGTAAACCACTAAACCAGGTCTAAACCAGGTCTAAACCAGGACTAAACCAGGGCTAAACCAGGACTAAACCAGGTCTAAACCAGGTCTAAACCAGGTCTAAACCAGGACTAAACCAGGTCTTAACCAGGACTAAACCAGGTCTAAACCAGGTCTAAACCAGGACTAAACCAGGACTAAACAGGTCTAAAACAGGTCTAAACCAGGACTAAACCAGGTCTAAACCAGGTCTAAACCAGGACTAAAACCAGGACCAGGTCTAAACCAGGTCTAAACCAGGACTAAACCAGGTCTAAACCAGGACTAAACCAGGTCTAAACCAGGACTAAACCAGGTCTAAACCAGGACTAAACCAGGTCTAAACCAGGTCTAAACAGGACTAAACAGGTCTTAAACCAGGACTAAACCAGGTCTAAACCAGGTTTAAACCAGGACTAAACCAGGTCTAAACCAGGTCTAAAACCAGGTCTAAACCAGGACTAATGCAGGACTAAACCAGGACTAAACCAGGACTAAACCAGGCCTAAACCAGGAGGGAGGGAGGTGTAGTTTTTGAGACAGGTGGAGCAGTCTGATCTGAGCCGAAGAGGAAGTGCTCTGTCAGCGTTTTCCCATAAACACTTCAGTCAGACTCAGGTGTGACGATCAGAGACACAGATACGCACGACAACGCACGACAACGCACGACAACGCACGGCAACGCACGACAACGCACGACAACGCACGACAACGCACGACAACGCACGACAACGCACGACAACGCACGACAACGCACGACAACGCAGAAACACAGAAACACGACTACAAACGGGTTTATGAATGAAACCAACGATCAACTATTCATTATATAAACCATGTCTAAACTGGGACTAAACTAGGACTAAACCAGGTCTAAACCAGGTCTAAACCAGGTCCAAACCAGGATTAAAACCCAGGTCTAAAACAGGATTTCAACAGGACTAAATCGTGCTGCATGGACCGTGTCTCCTCGTCTTCTATCAATAATATTTTTAATTTGGTTCAGTAAAGTCTGGTCTTTTTATTTTCTTTTATCAAACAAAACATCTTATGTGAAGATTTCCTCGTCTTTGTTTCTCTACAGCAAATCAAGTAATCCAAAGTATTCAGATTACGTTACTCACTTTAAGTAATTTAATGGATTATGTTACAAACTACATTTTGGGGTCTGTAATCTGTAATCTGTAGAGGAACACTGTTTGGTCAGCTCCCTTCAGGAAATGAAAATTACGGAGAGCAGTCGGAAGAAATTGAGTGTATAGAAGTTACACTATTGGTCAAAAGTTTTAAAACACCCTAATTTTTCCAGTTATTTATTGCGATTCAAGTCGAATGAAGAGTTTGAAATGGTTCAAAGGTCCAAAAAAGTCTTGTGTGAAGAATCCCTCAGTCGTCCTGGTAGAATCCACGGCGAGGAGAAAATTCAGTCTGTCAACTGGACGAAAGTTAGTTTGGTTGAAGACGTTTCGCCGCTCATCCAAACTGCTTCTTCAGTTCGAACTGAATTTATTACTTCTGTTTTATTCAGACCGAGGACCAGACCGAGACTGGTTTTGGAGACAGATAACAAAGATTAATTTTCTTATTTTTGGTTTTATATTGAAAAACAAATGAACGAATGATACACAGATTTTACTCTTCATCGCAGCACTTCCGGTCGTTGTGAAAAAGCTCTATTATTATGATTATGACTTAAAAAAGAAGTAGTAGAGACTGTTTTATCAGGGTTATCAGGGCAGGTGTTGATAACCACCTCTGTGTTTTACGAGCAGGTACCCAGAACATCAGCAGCGCCTTCAGCAGGAGGTGGACAAAGTCGTGGGCCGCGATCGCCTCCCTTCCCTCGAGGACCAGCCGCGCCTCCCTTACGTCATGGCGTTCATCTACGAGGTCATGCGCCTGGCCAGCTTCGTGCCGCTCACCATCCCCCACGCCACCACCGCGGACACCTCCATCAACGGATTCGCCGTGCCCAAGAACACCGTCGTCTTCATCAACCAATGGTCCATCAACCACGACCCGGAAACGTGGGACCAGCCCGAGACCTTCAAACCGGAGAGGTTCCTGACACCCGACGGCGCCCTGAACAAAGACCTGACCAGCAGCGTGCTCATCTTCTCTATGGGGAAGCGAAGGTGCATCGGCGAAGAGTTGTCCAAGCTGCAGCTGTTCCTCTTCACCACGCTCATAGCCCATCAGTGTGACATTACGTCCGACCCCTCCAGGCCGCCGTCCATGGACTACATATACGGGCTGACGCTGAAGCCCTACGCGTATCACATGGCGGTGACGCTAAGAGACGATGTGAAGCTGATGAAGGTGGAGGGAGGAAGAATGGGCGAGGGGACGGACTCATTTAAGAGCGCAGGACGTAAGGAGAACATGAAGGAGGGCTGAACGTCGACCTGTGGACACCAGCTCTGAGCGCAGTTTGGAGAGCAGCTGAAGTTGACAGGAAATTAGCTCCAAATTAGTTCCAAAAAAAGAGTCCAGAAACAAAAATTACAGTACACAAAGCAGTGCAATTGACTACATTTAATGGCGATCGCAAAAAACTTACCACAACTGAGTCCAAGCTGTTATTATTATTTGTACGACTGAACGAAATCAAATTGAAATTTTCCTGACAAACCTTGTGATTTGTTTTAGGATTTGGTTCAAAGAAAGTTGCACATAATCACAGTCCTTTTCGTCGGAGAGCAAATATTTGCAGACTCCACCAGACAAAAAGAAAATAAATTGAATAAAATGACAAAACTAAGAAAAAAAAATGGTATAAAATTATAATTAAAGGTGATAGCTGACTCCTAACACATTTTGAACTTAACTTAACTTGAAAAAATTCAATAAAATACACCGTTTACTAGGGATGTAACAATAACCGAAATATCGTGATATCGTATTGTCAAAGTTCTCACAATAACATCGTGGACCATCACAATATATCGAATTACAATCTTAAAAAACAGAGGGAACTACATAGACCATAATCCTTTGCTCCATTCCATTGCAGACTGCAAGAAGAATCAAAAACAAAACAACTAAGACCTAAAAGTTCTAAGCACTTTTAAGTCTTATTTCTTTGGATTCAGTCTTGCCAAGGCATTTTTAAGAGGAAAAAGTCACACATTAAGAGTTTTGTCCATAAAATATCGAAATAAATATCGTACCGTGAGATGTATATCGTGAAAATATCGATATTGTTACATCCCTGATCGTGAACTTTCCCACGATATCGCAATAAATATCGATTCGTGAGGTTCATACCGTGACGATATCGATTCGTGAGACTTGGATATCGTTACATCTCTACGTTTAGATTTAAATTATTTATGAAAAATGGTTTTAAATAGAAAAATAAAACCCAAATGATTTGCTTTGGATCAACATAAAACAATTAGTTGGGAAAAGAAAGGTCGACAAATCATCTTTTTAGACCAGACATCAACCTTTTAGTTACTGCTTTAACACTTCTGAAGAGTTTTATTGGAGCTAATTCTACGTTTCCTCGTCTTTTCCAGCTGTACCTCCAAACTCCGATCACTCATGAGATGTTTTATATAGATATATACATGTATTTATAAGCTCAAAACTCAGGCTAAATGTATTGAGGACTTTGTTTCGAGACTTTAAAGTATTACATGACCTATACTTACATGGCCTTTGTGACTTTTTGGGGGGAATCGAACCCACAACCCCGGTCTGTTATATCACTGGAGACAGGCTACTGGACGAATGCTGCTGCTGCTGCTTCACTAAACATGGACACACTTTTGCTGTGAAGTTATTGATTTGTGTTTTGCTGTGTTTATGTAAAATAACATATATTTTTATTATCCAGGGATCAAAAGCAGCGCTATTATAAAAACTTCTATATCGATTTCTACGTATTTAATACTATCTGTACTTCATGCTGTAACGTTAACAGTTAGAATAAGCTTTAGTTAATCTCTCGTCTGTTTGACCCATAGACTGTATTTATAAAAATGGGCATACCGTGATTCAAATAGGAAGTGAGCACGAGGACGCTTCCGGCTCCATTGGCTTTGGCTCCGATTGACGTTCCTTTAAAAAAAAAAAAAAGGTCACCCCTCTTTGAAACTACGGTGAGCCTTGTCATTTTAATCATAGGGCCTAAAAAAACTACAAAATCTTTGATCAGAAGTGCCTTTCGTTTAGACGGTGACGGCGTTTTTGGGGCTTTAAAACACAAAAATCTGAAACCGTGGAAAAGTTGAATACGCTCCGCCGTTGCGTTTTCTTCCACACTGCCCAAGACGCGCAAAACTCTAATCAGATCCGCTCATGTCGTGTACGCGTTTACGTCACATACATACAGAAACAAAACTTACAAAACTAAACTTACAGGAGGTTCCTAACAAATGTAAAGAATCTGCAGAGATACTTTTAGTGAACAGAGAAGGATCTGCAATCACCTCTGTCAAAGTTCGTCACAGTCGAGTCAGACGGATCTGGACGAGACCTTAAGAACCAGGTGATGGCGCGACAAATTTGTGAAAGCTGTAGTAGCTGATGAAAATGTTTGGCGTGAAAACTTCCCTATGTCCAAAGACGCCCTTGTTGCTTTAAGTACAAACAAACAAACCCCATCGAATTCCACACACTTTTGCGTCACCGTATGCGCACAGATTTACTCCCGAAAACGCTCGTCTAAACACGGAATAAAAAGCGAAGACGCGACGCCACTTTCGCGTCATCATATTAACACAGACTTAAATATTCGTATTAACCCAGTCTACGTGATCCTGGTGGTTTTCTTCAGTCATTTCGTCCATAAATAACAATAACAACAACAACAATCCTATTCCAAATTCACACCTATTATTGCTAAAATCGTGAGCTTAATTTGACTGGAGTTGATCGATCTGGGCGATGTCCATTTTTTTACACAGTCTATGGGTTTGCCTTTTAAAATATATGTCAAATAGCGGAGAGTTTGTGAACTGATAGAGGTTTGGAGCACTTGGATTCAGTATCTGATGCCGCATAAGGCCTTTATATACAGTAGTCACAGATTTATAATGTTGTATAGTCACCAAAAAGCAATTTCACGCTAACTTATTTCCTAGACTTTTATTAATTTAGCTTTATATTACAGAAAATAACAAGACTAAGATCAAATTATTTAAAAAAAGACAAAAAAAAAGCTAAGAGTATGCATATTATTGGGCTAAAGAGCTCATACTAGTTAGATAGATGAAGTTTCGGGGTGACACAGGACCCCCTTGTCGCTGCCCCCAGACATTATCGCATTGCCTGAAATGTTCCGCACTATGGCTTAAACACACTGTATCTATCTCCACGGAGACAATTAATCAAAATTACAGATCGGACAGCCCAGATCACACACGAGGCATGTTTTTTAAGAGATCGTTGAGGAATATAAAAGTCAAACGTGGAACATTCAAGGCAAACGAATAAGAAAAAACACCAGAAAAGTTACACATTGCTCTTTTAACGTTAGAAGCAGCTACAAAAATGAAATTAAAATGTCGTCGTTGTGTCTTTAGGGACAGAATAACGTGATTACTTACTAGAAATATTACTATAAATGTCAAGAATGGAGTGACAAAATTGCTGCAAAACCAATGTGCGGTTTGCGTCAAAACTTTTCCATCTAAAAAGCAAAAAAACAACTTTACGCCAATTATTTATTTGCAAATTGGACAATGTGAATTCATGCATTGGTGCTTGCTTACGTTATAAGTATAAAAGGGCTACGTACAGTCTATTTTCTAATATTTAAAATGTTCTTCTTACCTCTAAAGACTTTTGATTTTGCCTTAACATTCAGCATAGCATCTTTTACTGTGTAACACAATAGACAGTTCATCTCAGGAATATCATATTTTAGCCTCACGTAACCTTCTTATTGACACTGTTCGGACCAGATTACACAAACTCACTGTTGGACTTTCTCTGACTAACTTTAGGACAGTGTTGCTTACTGTAGCCGGAGTGTTTAAGTTTTATTTGTGATTTATTTTCACTGTTAGATGCTGCTTTCTTTTGATGCCAGTAACCAAAAAATCAGCAAAACACTTCACGGTTTTTAATGAATTCAGAATTTCTAGTAATTTTGACTAAATGTAGTTAGTTGGTCTTGATTTGTGTAATGTTTTATCATATTTTTGATTGGTTTATTTTAATATATATCCTTTTTTTTCTCTGCAAACAAAAAAAAAAAAATCTTACTTGATATAATTTAGCTCAAAGTAAAATGAAAAAAATGTTGAAATGCTTTGAAAATATCGTCATAGTTGAATCAAAAACCAAAAAAAAAAACAAAAACAAAAAAACACTTCTGAAACTAAAGCTATACCATGTCATTTTTTAACTACTTTGCCTGAAATGTCCCACAGCATGGCATTAATCATATTTATTTTACATGTGTTCAGTTACAGATGTTTTATCACCCAAAAAGTATCTCAAAAATGTACAATCCGGTTTGTAATCTGGCCTAGTCGCGTCAGTAGCTTGTCTCCATGGCGACGAACAAGTTTAATGTCATACTGTGGAATATGTCAAAGCAAAGGGTAGTTAAAGATCCTGTATTACGTAACGTTAAAATGTTGTTACCTCCTCAAAAACAGACATGGAGTTGAGTTTTGTTTCATTCGCAAAGCTCGAAACACTCATTTTGTGACATCATGAAGTGGTAGTTCTCAAGTTAACAGCTACTTTTAATATTTTGTTGAGTAGAAATTGGGAATTCCAGAGCTCTGTGAAGTTTAAAAACACTGTGGAGCACTTCCTGTAATACCACATTAATTCACAAGATGTTTTCTGTTTGAGAGAAGAACTCAGCTTCAAAATACCGTATTTTTTGGACTATAAAGTGCGTCAGATTATAAAGTGAAATATCAATAATGTTGAATTCTCTTGTCTATTTTTGTACATAAATTGCACCGGATTTTAAGTAGCATTAAGAGAAACAAAACAGTCAACTAAGTCAAAATTTATTCAACTCATTCACAATAACTCAGCCCAGGTTAGAGTGTGGATCGGGATGAATTTTTATGTCCGAGCCTGACAGAGCAGCGATCAAACCCGACCCGAGCTCGAACATAAGTCCTAAATATTTGTCCAAACCGGTTTCGTCAGACTTCGGTCGGGTTTCCACGCTCTAACCCAGGCAATCACGATCCATCGGCAAATCGTGGCGTAACTCGCCCGATGTCGCCTCTGTCTTGTTGAATGTGTGAATGTGACTACAGTCACCGTAATTCTCCGATAATCCATCAAACGGTGCGGCTTCGTAGTTTACCAAAGTCGTACTAAAACATTTTGACAGATTTTTGAGCGCCGTGCACCACATAAAATCGGTTCGAGGTCAGAAAGCGCAACCAGAATTAATACATAAGGGGCACCGTCGATTTTTAGAGAAAATGCAAGGATTTTAAGTGCGCCTTATAGTCCGAAAAATACGGTATGCAGTGAGTTAAACATTTGTGAACGAAACAAAACGCAACTCCAGGTCTGTTTGTGATGTGAAAACAAAAAGTAGTATAAGCCCTTTAATCCTTCACCGGAAAAGCTACACAGTGCATCTTTAAAGATAAATAAAGACAGATATTCAGTTTAGTTTCGTAACACTTTCTTACTTTCCTACAGACTGGGTTTCTTCTTCTCGCGTCGACATCCGCCGTGCGCCGACTGTAAACACAAATTTCAGGCATTTTTTGGCAACATATTTAGACTTAAATTCCTCCAGACTTTGGATAAATGTCAAAATAGATGATGTAATGTATTTGTGTGCCTTTGTAAATCCCTTTAATCCAAAAATGTAAAAGAAAACAAAACTGGATGAATCAGCTGCTTGTTCCAATAGCCCATTTTACACATGATGTCACCCAAAGACAAACCAGGAATTGTGTATTAAAAGAAAGTTAATATTTTTCAGAAGACGTACCGGCTTTGCTTCAGCGTTTGTGCGTCTGAGGGGGTATCCCATCATGCTTTGCGGTGTGATGTCACTGTTCGTTTTCAGCAGCCGTTGGAAAATTGTCAACAAATGCCCCAAATCGATGTTTCTTGCAGTTTCTTTTACCTCAAACTTTATGAAATCTTGTCTGAAAACTACTGTACACTGTAAAAAGTGCCTCCTCTCTGCTGCAGCTCTGAGTATTTTAACATGTCCAAAACCTGGAAAATGTCTTTTGTACAGTGTAGAGATATTATAAAACAAATAAACTAACATATTTTTACAGTTAAACCCTAACGCGTGTGTGGTGTCTTGGATTTCTTAGACTTATCGAGGTTTAATGATGATGAGTTTAATGTCATACAGTGTCAATACAGTTTTCCCTCGTTTATCACGGGGATTATGTTCTAAAAATAACTCGTAATAGATGAAATCAGTGAAGTAGTCAACTTTATATTTTACAATTATTATATCTGTTTTAAGTCTGTAAAACCTCTCAGCACAAACTTTATCAGTGCTGGGGAGTAACAGATTACATGTACCAGAGTTATGTAATCAGAGTACAAATTATGAGTAACTGTATCAGTTAATCAGGTAATTGGATTACAGTTACTTTGTTGAAATAAATGGATTACATGGCGGTATTTTCCTGTTTTCATTTCCGGACGCTAAATCAGATCTAAAACCAGGTCTAAACCAGGACTAAAACCAGAACTAAACCAGGACTAAACCAGGTCTAAAACCAGGACTGAACCAGGACTAAAACAGGACTAAACCAGGACTAAACCAGAAACCAGAACTAATCCAGAACTAAACCAGGTCTAAAACCAGAACTAGTCCAGAACTAAACCAGGTCTAAAACCAGGACTGAACCAGGACTAAAACCAGGACTAAAACAGGATTTAACAGGACTAAACCAGGACTAAACCAGATCT